ATATATATATATATATATATATATGTGTGTATCTAATGTTGTGTTATACTGTATTTGATCATATCTCATGACAACCGCCGCTGCTTTTTTGTTTTTTTTTGCCCCACTGCTAATAACCGCGGTCATTTGTGGGCAGCCTGAGCAGCAAGGAGGTTAATACGTTTCTGTCGTGCTCCCCCGAGAGCGACCGAGAGACAGATGTTTAGGGTGGAGTAGCGGTTTGCTTGTCGAAAGTGCAAGCGTGTGAGTTCTAAATGAAACCCGGCTCGTAAAGACTGAAGTCCCCGTGTGCCGGGCCCTCGCGGACCGCCGAGGTTACGAAAGATGACTCGCTTTTGATCATTTTCGACGTCCCCAAATAATTTTTCCCTTTGAACATTTCCAGTCACTCGTGCTTTTATTTATACGATGAAGCCTATTTAGACAATCAAGGAGTGGGGCGAAATAATGAGGCCTTCCATCCTCGCACCGTCGTCAGCGTGGACACGGGCTCCCTTTTCAATCAGTTTAAAAGCGGCTCTGTTAATTAAAGCTCTGCCCAAATTATTTTCATATAACTTGCTCAATTCCTTCAGATCTGTTGTCAGCAACCAGCCAAGTTTCTTGTAGTCACCCCCCCACTCTTGGAGAAATCCCACTGACCCATATAGTTGATCTCATTTTTGAAGAAGTGCATAATAATATAGATTCCATGTTAAGAGAGTGGAGGCTCTATTCATAGTCTCATTTGAGGTGCATATCCTCCTCCTCCTCCACCCCTTTGCTGCTGCTGCTGCTGAATTCCCAGTGTAGTAGCGTACATAGCATCTCCTTTGAGTAAGGCCGAGATTATTACCTCACGCAGGCCCGAGCCGTTTCATCAGCCGGCGTACAGCTGCTGACTGTTTACAGGCGCCTCTTTAGCGCAAGCATCACACGTGACAACCTGCGATGCCACCTCAACTCGTGTTTCCGCCGCTAACAACAACATCCTATTGATCTTTCGCACCGTTTTAACAGCTCCAATTGCACCCGCACTCGCACACGTGCCTGAGTGGCTCCAGATTGAAAAACAGGAGCAGCTGGAAAGGCTGTTTTTTTTTTCTATCACCCTTGCGTTTTATTTAAGGTAGTGGTTTATCACCCGAAAAAAAAAAAAATACTTGGCTCTCCAAGTATCACCTTAATGGCCAACATTAAAAATACAATAGCGTAGCAGACGCAAGTGTTCACCTAAACCATGGTTTTATTCCATAAAAAGTATATAGTGGTGCCCTAAGACATCAGTGACCTGACTTAAGAGTTTTTTCCAAATATGAGACGTCGTGTGGCCAATTCTTTAGTTTGACGTGAGCAAAAGTTGTCGGAACGAACCCTGTATGGTGGCAGTGACCTCAATTCGCGTCACATCATAGGAAACGGACAGTGACGATTCTTCACAAAAATGGCATCAAACTTTTGATTGAAACTACCATTTGAAGTTTACTTTCAAACCTAACACGAAACAAAGAGAATTACATAACGGGGTTGCGGCATTACAACCCGTTAAGCAACGGATATTTGAACACAAAAGGTGGAGCAACACGCGAAGACAGGTAATGTGATAATAGTCGCAAAGCATATAGAGCTTATTCTCTGGGAAAAATGACTCCTATATTACTGCAGCTTACTGAGTAGTGACCGTCTCCATGTAAATCTGTTCAGTTTCTCTGTATTATGCTGCGCGCACACGAGAAGGATCAGCAAATTATCCATAAAATTGAAGCAAAATGTGACAAAAACAGTTCATTCTTTACATTCTTCGTATTATGTCAGTACTGTATGCTTTTATCATGTACAATTTTATCAAAGGCTAATTTTCTGATTGGAAAGTACGTGAACATTTTTGTGTTTTTTTTTTTGGGGGGGGGGGTCATCCTGGAACAGACAAATGGCTGTGGACATGGTCACAAAATGAATTCAACTTGTATCTTGTGGCACCACTATGTTAAATATTGTAAGTCACTGCCACATTATGGACAGTTTTGAACATTAACGCCGTGCTTGAACATGGGAAAGCAAAAGCGTACTAAAATCATTGTTCAGTTAAAGTTTATTGCACATAAAAATGAAATAGAAAAGGAATCGACGTGAGAAAAAAGTACCGAGATGTTTGCCAACAAATGCAACTCGTACTTCAAAGTTAAACACATCTCAGCTGTACTTAACAAATGTACTGTAAAACGATCTGGCAAACAACAATGATGCTAAATATTAGCGCGCTGAACTCCACCAAAGACCAAAAATCCAAATCCGGATCAGCATCAAATTGGACACATTCCACTTCCTGTATTAGCTTAAATGTTGCCATTAAGGTTCAAGTCACTGAGACGTGAGGCAACATGTCGACAAATCTCGCAATTTCGGAAACCGGTTGAATCATTTTGCACTCAAAAGCTACAAAAATCCATCTTATAATTTGCCGGACAAATGAAACAATTGGTTGCAGTGGAATAAAGTTATCAGAAAAGTAGAAACAATTGAGGCTTTTTTTTCCTTTTCGCCTCAGTCTAGAATTTTCTTTTTTTTATTTTCCACCACATAATTTAAGACTTTTAACAAAAAACAACCATGTGGTCAATTGGTAAGATCCAGCATATATCTGCAGCGGTATGAAAGTTTAGCACTGGAGTGTGCTGAATTGTTTCGTGTGCTTTTCCAAGCCTGATGCAAGTTTGAACGCTGAAGGAATAGCGTCGCAGTGCGGTTGTGTCACAGAGTAAAAAAAAAAAAACAAAAGAGCAAAGTTTTTGTCACACCCATAACTGGAAAAGAGGCAAAGGGAGGCCGATTTCCATCATGCAAAGTTTACTTGGTGACATTTTGTCATACCGAGATCTTTTTTTTTTTCCTGCATTCCCTTCTACTCTCTCGTATAAATTTGCTTGGCAAGTACAGACGAGTGCCTCCTCAATACAGTCAAATGTACATATGCTTTTTTTTCGTGTGCTCTGCATAATTCTGGAACGAGCAGATTTTGACAACTCCTGGACTGGACATTATTTTCCAGTCCATTAAATCTGATAACTATGAAATCAAGGGTCAATTGTTTAACCAATAATAAAAACGTTAATTAATCCGCTGAGGCCTGCAGTGCCAGTTACTGTACATCAGCAAATTCCGTGTTCCCCACACGCTGTGGCTATCGATGGTTTCTTCAGTCGGACTCATTATCAGGATTTGTCTCCTCTGGCACATTAACTTAATTGGGGAGAAAGTAAGCACTGATAGTCGGGTATTTTTCATTGTTCGCTGGAGTTCGGGAAAACCTGTAGGTTGGCAAGATCACAAGACCCGCCCCTTTTCGCACATAGACCGATCACAGTGATCGTTCAACTGTTTGATCTTCTCTTGGGGTTCTTGTCAGTCAGCAAAGCAGCATTTGCTCATTTTGCCAGTGTTGGCCTGAAGTGCGAGAAGACATTTGTCAACAACAACAAAAAAACGGCTTCCACATGTGAGCGGTTGAAAAATTGACTCACGCTGTTTCAAATTGCCAGGGGCGAAATGGGAGCATTTAGTGGCGGTCTGGAGTTCTGTCGTCACTTGTTCGTTGACTCACCTTGCTCGCTGGTCAATTTGGTCGGAAATCATACCAATCGTGAAAATACGATATAACGCTTATGAGCAAGTGACGCGCTTTACAAATGGCAGGTTATATTTGTCATTTTAATCAAGTATTTTTGAGCTCTTTGCATTGCCTTTGAATGTCTTCAGCTGTCGTGTTTTGTAAATGCTTCGAGGTTTTGCGCTTTTGGTTGTGTGAAGCACATTGAGATATCTTGCTCCGGTACTTCTTTAAGCGACCAACAGAAGAAGCTAGCAGCCCTTGCACACTTCCTTAGCAATAATCAACTGAATGAGACGTACGTTGTCGATGACTTGTAGTGTGTTTTGGTTTTATTTAGTACCCCAAAGATAAATCAATCGTGTGGAAATCACATTGCAAGCTTATGAAGACAGAAAGAACAGAGTAAAAGTCGTTACTGTCGTTTAGTGTTACTGTAGCCATAGCTGCTTAATTGTGTCATATATTAAATGGTGTGACACCACACGTGTCGCGTAGTTTATAAATGCGTCTGTATTTATACTCCCCAGATATTTTGGTGCTTCAGCACGCGAAATAAACATACACTAAAAGCAAAGTGGGTGTCACTTTTAAGCAGTTGCTTTTGATTCCACTCAGTTTAGATGTGCCCCCCACCCTGCCTCCCCCCGATTCCTTTGGCATGTCCCCCCCGCATGTAGTTTTGTGAACAGGCAGCGGCGCTTTTGCGTTTTGCATTGAAATGGAGCCTCTTCCAAACAATCCGTGCATCCTCTCCCGCTGCTTCTGATCCGCTTCGTATCACCCGATGACGATCATTTTGACTTCATCGCCCGTTTAATTGTGCGCTAATAATCCACCGCGGTGCTTCCTGACGTGAAAATCTGTATTTGCTTCTGTTTTTATCCATCGTCTTGCAGCCTTTCTAACCGAACACATGCATTCACTCTCTTACAGAGACAAAACAAGGACGCTTCATTCATCCTTTTTGGGGCGAAAGGCATTTAAAAAAAAAGGCACTTGCTCTGCCGCTTCTTGGCACACAACGACAAATGACGGTAAGACAAAACACAACACAACATGCTTGCGTCATGGTGTCAGTGTCAGGACATTCTGAGCCTAAGAGGTGTGTTTTATTTCGTCTTCACATTCACTGCCAGCTAAATTGTTTAGCACGGACTGTGATTTTGCCTCTTTTTGTGTGCGCGAGGACATGTTTATGGGCTAATAGGCCTTTGTTAGTGCTCCTCTATTTATTTAATACAATTGTAGTGTGAACAGAAGGAATAATAAACAGGCTGACGAGACATACGATTCGTCTTTAGGTCTGATAAAACCCCTGTGTAAGGACACAAAAGGGGGACGTTTCCACTGCGGAAAGTAAATTCTTTTGAAGTGGAACTAATCATCTGAGGGATGGTTCTCGTTGTCCTAACAACGCAGCTGAATTGGAATGAGCCTCCCTTTTTTTTCTTTTTTTTTGTGGCAGATATGTTTTCTTTTTTGCATTCAGAGCTGATGATGATCGTACTTTCACGCCCTGTCCGCCCGCATTGTGCGTCCCAACTCCTTTGCGGATAAGTCTTCACTTGGAGACGCCGAACGCACGGTGGGTGACTCCCGGTCCGTGACGTCAGCTCCCCCGCCCTTTCCCATAGTAACCCCCGCCCCTTACCCCCACACTCCTTTCAGCTTTTTAATACTGTCAACATGAAAAGGGCCGAGCAAATCCTCTCCTACAACACTGTGAAAAGATCAAGACTTTTAAACTTGTCATGTAGCATAATGCACCGATCACGCTTAAAATGGCGCCCATGACGATCGTCGGATAAATCGGGAGTTTATGTGTGAGAAAACGCTCACATGATATTTGAAAAAAAAAACCAAAACATGCAATTTTGTATAATTGGCGTCACCCGCCCCCCCATTCTTTTGATCCCTTTTTTAAACCACATGACTAATTCTACCTGGACACTAATATGTGCATGTAATAGCAACAACATAAATACATCTAGAGTGGGTACAAATTAAGCAAGCAAAAAATGTGGTTATAAAATGTTTTGCCCAATATTACAAATTAATCAAAACAAATGACGCTTGTTCTTTATCAGATGGCCAAGTTATTTTACATACTCCAATGTTAGCATTGGTGGCGTCAACAATGAACAATTTTCATCAAAATCCATATGCATAAAAAAAAATGCAATGAATTAAAACGAAATACATTTACCAGCCCAAAAAGTATAACATACATACAAAAATAATGCATTAAAATAATTGACCTTAGCACACACCTTCACATACATAAAAATATCCACAAAAATAAGAAATAAATGACAATGAACAACTTAAATGCAAATCCATACACGTAAAGCAAAGAAAGAAAGAAAATCTACCACCTAACAAGTAAATACATAACTGTAAATTTTTTTTTTAATCTCTCAAAAAATAAAGCATGGATGAAAACAAAAAGCCTCCTAGAACAGCTGAACTAGTTCTGTATTCCTCTTTTAATTTTAAACAATAGTGCACAGTGACCGAGCATACTACAATGTTTTTTTTTTTCTCCCCGCCCCCCCACCTACCCCCCAAATAAAGGCATTCCTGGCATAAATCAAGTTAGTAATTATTGTCCGAGGCCTGTGATTCACCACGACGGCTCTTTTGTTTCAGTCTGAAGGGCCACAACTGTGCCGTGCAGTTTTGGGTCTCCCCCTGCGGGCGCCCTGGAGGGTTGGGGCGGAGAGGCCCCCGGAAAGGTAACTGGGCCGCTTGACCTCGAGCCGAGAGAATTCCAATGTTTACTGTTCCTAAATCTTCATTTTCACACCGGGCTCGCTATAAAGCGTCTGCCTTCTTCCTGCTTGTTCCGTTCAATAGCCACTCGGCCATTTTATTGTCTCAGTGGGGCTATTGAGGGGTTCAGGCAGCAGTCATCTGCCGAGGTGAGAGGTTGCTGTGTCTTCCACGCTAGCGGCACCCCTCAAAATATCCAACTCTTGACCTGCAAAATGATAGAAAATAAGCCGCTAATGTTTTGTCATGGATAATGCATTATTAAGTGCATTTATGTCACGTTTATTCGAAATAAATGTGGCACACTCTTCTTTGTGACCCTCCTCAAAGCTCACACGGTGTCATGTTATCGCATATTATACAGGATACAGTATGTACACTTAGCGATGGCGCTGCATTATTCATAAACTCTATTCTTGATGATTTATTAAATATGATATCACACGACGGGGAAAGGGAATCTAAGAACAATAGGTTTCACTTTTTTGATCATTTTTAAGCAGAATTCTTTGAGGTGGGGGGTGGCGGGGGGGGGGGGGGAAATCGGCCAGTTGGTGGCAAGTCTGCAGTGTTATTTCTACTCCGTGGCCACAACATTCGGTACGCTGGCGCCAAGATAATAATGTTTCGTTTTGATCAAGGGTCACTGACCTTTTCGTAAGTGAGAGTTACTTCTTGGGCATTGATTAATGCGTAGGGCTTCCAGTTTCATACACACGTCTGAAGTAAGAAATATGCTCAAATTACCTTGAATTATGTGTTAGTCATGATAATTATTGATATTTAGCTCCATGAAGACGCTGATCATGTTCTTGCTTTCTCACAATCAGTGTCAACAAAGATTTAATGAGCTCGGAAACAGATAAATATCAACAGGTTAAATTACAATTCCCAGAAAATCACGATGTCCCACCACTGGTGAGCTGTTTTTAGAATCGACCTGCGGGATACTTACGTGATTCCTCGGTGCACCCTGATGAGAGCAGACCCGACATTGGGGTCAGCCATGTTTTTATTTGCCAATATGGCTTCCCAGCGTTGTACTTTGCAATCATTCTGTTTCTAATATTTTGGCCCTGTTCGTAGCTGTCCTCACTTGAATAGTGCCTTGTGCAAGATCCCACTTTGGCGCCCCCCCTGCCCCTCCAACGCACACAAATACCAATGAAGCACTCATTGGAAGGGGATTGATTGATTGATTGATTTATAAAATCGACCGGCTTGTAAATCGATTCGAATACAGCAACAGCAAAGAACAATTTGAAAATTAAGCTCACATAACAAAACAACACAAACAATACACGAGTAAGTGGAACAGACAACGACCCTTCCACAACATCAAGCTGCCATTCCACTTTGTGCGGCTCCTCATTTCACGCATGCCAAAGTGTGCAAACTGCTTTGTTTATCTGAAGGATCTTTTTGTGTGGATTTGTGTGTAACTCAGTATTCTCTACCCATGAGATACTGCAACACAACCAACAGAAGTGTAAATTATGATCTTTTGGGGCAAGTGGCATAGCCCCGATGCCGTCACACAAAAGGGCGTGTCCAAAAACGTTTTCCTCCACCCATGACGACAGCAGTGAAAAAGCTAAAGATGTTGAATCCCTTTTATTTGGACTCATCAGTGTTGTGGCACATGCATCCTCTGCTGATGTTACACGCTTGCCACACACACACACACACACACACACACACACACACACACGCAGTCACACGCACTGACTATTAATGAAGCCAGCAGTTTAAATGAGGACACGGCAAGAGTGGCTGGTGGCAAACTTAAATGTAGGCCATTTTTGGTTGTTAGAACTTTGAAGGAAATGCAATACTTGAGAGGATAGAAATGCGGAATCCTCACCAACGCTCTTTTCTTCATTCGACAAGAAAGTCAGCGTGGAGCTCAAAGCTGACATGTAGTCTCAAGTCCTGTCAGAGTTGCTTCTTAAAAAGCCATTTTCCTTAGAGGAGCCAACGGACCAGTTGTGTTGTTTCCTGCAGAAAACTCTGCCGGCCCGCCTGCACTTTTTTTTTTTTTTTTTTTGTGGTTTTTACATGCCATGCGAAATGGGCTCGCCATTGTCATCACGGCAGACTGGGAGCTGTGGGGAGAGGACGCCCGCGCTGTGCCAGTTGGCTCCGGTAGTGAAAACACAAGGCAGGCACAGCACCATTCTAATCTTCGGCGTTGCAGACACAAAGGTCACTTTGTGGCGATTGCACTTGGAGTGTTCCAACAGCTCGGCGGGCATATTCGCAGCGGAATGTATAGAAATGTACACAGTGTACACATGCTGTTGGCTGCCAGCATGTCAACATTCGGCCGCTGCGCCATGTGCTTCGGTCTAAAAATGACTGTTATTTAAATCAGGCACACTCTCGAGGGGGCGCTGGGACGCCACCAACATTTAAATATCCCGCAATGTCAATGATAAATTAATGATTTCATTCAAAATATATTAGGAGATAAACATTGTTTCATTTTGAAATGGTCCTTTTGTTTGCCAGCGGTTATAAAAAATGCAGTTTAAAAAAAATGCAGTTAATATGGGTTAATCGTTGGACTGAATAGAATACACAATGCAGCAGCAGGCAGCTCACTCAACAGGAACATTCTAATTATTTAGTAGAGTTCTTAATTTTGTGTTTGAATGTATTAGGTTGAGTACTGACTACTGCAAAAAAGACTCTTGCCCCAGCCCCCCCATGAGCCAGGCCTGGAGTGGTAATTTGGATAATTCTGGCGATTGATTGATGGGCCAGGTTGCTATGTGTGCTACTTGGGGTGCTATCCCAGCATGCACATTCATTTGTTCTCCCCCATGCCTGCGTGGGTTTTCTCTGGGTACTCCGTTTTCCTCCCACATTCCAAAAACAGGTTCATGACACACTCTAAATTGTCCCTCGGTGTGGATGTGAGCGTGAATGGTCGTTTGTCTATGTGTGACCTGCGATTGGCTGGCAACCAGTTCATGGTGTACCCTGCCTACTGCCCGAGGTCAGATGGGATGGGCTTCAGCACGCTCACGACCCTCGTGAGGATAAGCGGATTAGAAAATGGATGGAAGGATGGATGGATGCTGTATACTGTCTGGACATATATGTGTGTATGTGTATCTATGTAGAGAATGTGTGTGTGTGTACGTGTGTGTGTGTGTGTGTGTGTGTGTGTGTGTGTGTGTGTGTGTGTGTGTGTGTATGTGTATATATATATATATATATAGAGAGAGAGAGAGAGAGAGAGAGAGAGAGAGAGAGAGAGAGAGAGAGAGAGAGAGAGAGAGAGAGCAGTCCAAATGTTTGCATTTCATTTTTTATGCAAAGTTGTGGTAAAGCCATAAATTGGCTTGCATTGTCACTGTAGTCTGATTTCTGAATTACTGACTTATGTTTCCACCATCCTGGTTATGTAGAATTTTGTTGTCTGAGCGAATGCTTAAAAGACTGCAAGTCAAAGCGTTTACTAAGTTCGCAACTCTTAATAAAGTCGATCGATAAATGTCTTTCATACTAATCCATGGTACATTTGCCTTTATTTTCGTCTACGGCCAAAGACCAATATATGTACGGATAATAAATCTGACAGTTTATTTTACAACAAATGAATTGATTGTTTGTGTTTGTTAAACGAAAAAATAATGGAATGTAAAATTGCAATCACAACGTCGAGGGGAAAAAAAAATGCCATTAGATTATTTTCCAAATCGTTCATCCCTCAGCAAAATGTACCATAAGCTAAACTGCACCACAGGCTCTTAGGTGTGTTGGCGCCGACTTAAGCAGCGACGAACAAGCCGACAGGAATAGCAGGACTATTGTTGGAAGGTAAGCTACCGTCAATAACGTCCGTATCTTCTCTCTGTCCTGTGCGACGCCACGGGCGGAAGATAGCGAGCGTCGGTTTGTCACGAGCTTGTAAATGCCAGTTTATTTAATGAGTTGCGTGGACGAAAGCGGGCCAAAATGCCTCTCGCTTTCCCCGCCGTAAGTTGCAGCAAATAGAAGGCGGCCTGGTTCGCATTGTGGAGCTTTATCCGTTTTCACGCAGCTCTCCGCCCTCCTGGTGGTGCTTGGCTTGCAAGACAATCGTCCTGCAAATATCAGGGGGCCAAGTCATTATCTTATGCTCAGCAGGTGTAGACATTATTGGAGTGTTGAACTAATGATATGTAATGAGCTCTCTGTGACACATGTCTAGCCACCGTTACTATCACGAGGCCCATTAATAGATAACAGCATCCTAATTAGCTTCACCAGGAAGCCAGAACCGCCGCTTATAAATACATCAAGCTATATTTAAGTTTTGTTTTTTTTTTCTTCCTTGCCCCTCCTTGTCGTCGCCTCACGAGGACGGAAAACGTGCTAATCCCGTTTCACGATGCTTGTATTTAGTTTGCGCGAGGTGGCGCGTTTCGAAAGCGCTCCGGAGCGACGTCGTTGACGATTCCGTGACTAAAAGACAGGCCGATCCACGTTTGTCACTTTCTTCCTATTTTCCGGCCAAATTGAGCGTCGAGGACTGCCTCAAATTTTATTTTGGAAATGGTTTTGAAGTTGGTACCCCACCGCAAACACTTTCAGGCTGGCGCCTGTCGCCTAGCAACAGCAAACAAAGGCAGGACCCATCTCAAGTTTCCCGTGGAGCGGCCAGTCCGGCACGCCTTTGATCTTGACTGGGAAAATAGCTGAGTGGGCACTACTCGCATTTGTCTTTCATTTAGTCCGGCCCCCCACCAACTCCTACCCAATATGCTCCCCGCCCCCTCCTCTCCCCTTCCCAAATGTTCCCTGAAATGGACAAATCTTCATCTGTCCCCAGCAACCAACACCGCCACTTATAAATAATCGACCGGAGCACGGCAAGTGTTTGGATGTTTGTTACCTTTCCCAAAGACTGATCGAAGTCTTATTTCATCTTTCATGAGCACAACGAGCGCAATTTTATTTCCGCAAATCAGTCTCAGAATCATTTTTATTACTCAATATGCTTCAAAACACACCAGCAATTTGTCATCGGTAGTTCGAGCCACTCTGGTACTTCATCAAATGAGTCACGATAGAAATATATGCATGTGGGACATAAATGTACAGGGAGTCATTACCCCTTTCAGGGACAGCGGTTACGACAGTGGACAGCTTATTATGTTATCAGGTTACAAGGTGCGTGAAAGGGTTAAGCAATATAAAGTGTCCAGTAGTGTTGCAGTACGGTGCAAAAGATGCATCGAGTCAAGCAATTTAAAGGCTAAGGCTATATGTTTAAGGTTTTTCAAGCCTTTTCTCTTTTTTTTTCGAGTGCATTTATTCGAGAGCTTGGTTAGTTTTATCCTTGACCCCAACAAAGACTGGCTTTGGTTCTGCATTTGAAAAGTAAACATCACAGACATGGTAAGCAACTGGTTAGCACATCCGCCTCACAGTGCAGAGGTGCGTGGTTCGATTCCGGCTCCGGCCTTCCTGTGTGGATTTTGCATATTCTCCCTGTGCCTGTGTGGGTTTTCTCCAGGTACTCCGGTTTTCTCCCACATTCCAAAAACATGAATGACAGGCTGATTGAACACTCAAAATTCTCTCTACATGTGAGCGCAAATGTTTGTTTGTGTCTGTCTGCCCTGCGATTGGCTGGCAACCGGTTCAGGGTGTCCCCCGCTTACTGCCCGAAGACGGTTGGGAGAGGCTCCAGCACACCCCGCGACCCTTGTGAGGATGAGTGTATCGGAAAGTGGATGGATGGATAGATGATACAGCATGTGAAAAGAGGGAGGGGTCGGGTGATGAGGTTGTTTCTGCATTCTGATTGGCTGAATGTCGAGCAGCATGACGCTTTGGGTTACATCTGCAGGCACGTTTACATGTTATTGATGCGCTTTTTGCATTTTGGGAGCTGCTTTGCCCGACAGTCTCTTGGTATTCACACACATGTCACTGTGCATTGTAAGATCAAGATAAAGTGATTGATGCTGCCTGCAGACTGACAGACCTGACGAATGTTCTAATAGTTTTGGGCTTTCTCATGTTAAATAAGGTCAACAAATGAAGTTGGGTTTCGTCAGTGAACTAGAATAATTCTTTTGTTGAACAAAAACCTGCCTTTAAAAATTGTATAAATGCTCAGTTTCAATGTAGCTTGAGAGATATTATCCGAAAGCTATTGTTAGCCTAAAAGCATATTAGCCTAAGTCACCCGCCCCCCCCAAAACAATTTTTAAAAAATGCAACAAATTATGCATATTGTACAAGAGTTCAGTTGCCTCCATTCAGCCTTTGTCATCTGCACACATATGAAGAAAAAACACAGTTTTAACAAAATCAAAAAAACGACTTGGACAATCACACTATTAGGCTGGCGATATTTTTATTGTTGTGGTTGTTTGCTGAGAGGGGTTCCCAATATATTGCCTTTCTGATGTTGTTGCGATATTAGAAGCATTTCGCAACCGGTTCAGCATGTCCCCCGCCTACTGCTCGAAGACAGCTGGGATAGGCTCGAGCAAGCCCGCGACCCTTGTGAGGATAAAGCGGACCGGAAAATGGATGGATGGATGAATATTACAGACAATTAGGTTAATTTAATGGTGGCAGCCAAAATTATGATTAATTGTGCATCGCTCAGTGTAGGTAAAACCAGAACTGTCACAACGTCATGTTCATGCCGGTCGGTGCAAGCCTCATTTTGTGTGTTTGGGAATTTGAAAATTTAAGCAAAGAAACTATTGAAAGCGTCTCATCTAACACAGCCTGGACTATCTCAACACGCAATTTCTTATTCGAAACTGAGAGTGAGGCTACACCGAGCATTTGCCAATGTGCTGCTTATTGCATCATGAGCATCTTCAGAGTGATGCTGATGTGGCATTTGGCTATTAATGTGGATAGTGTGTGTTGAAAGTAAGCTGTGCTTAAGGGAAAAACATTTTCAAGAAGCATTTCCAAGTCTTTAATAATTCTTTCCAAGTCAAGAAAAAAAAACCTTTTTTCCTCAATGCATGAACACAAGCGAGGAGAGATATCTTAGGGCTATTGAACGTTATCTTGTGCCACTGCTCCGCTCGCCTTTCATCCAAAGCGTCTCAGACAGCAGCAGATTAAACAAATTGAAGTGTTACACACTGTTTTGGTGTAAATTACAGTAATTGAGGTTTCTATGAGGTGCCGCGGCCCCTCCGGAGCAACTTCTTCCAGTTTGCAGGAAGACATGCGGCCCAGTAGGGTGTATTGACTCAGCCGGTTTTAATGCTCCCCATTGTTTGGTGAACATACCCTCCTTCGTTCTCAGCCAAGCACGAGCACACCTTGTGCAAACAAGGATTTGGTTTTCCTTCACGCTGCGCCAATTACCCAAAAACGAGTTTGTCCTTTCGTTTGAATGAGTGAGTTGTCTCAAACAATTCTGTTGACCACTAAACAGAAACGAGACATTACATATGAATGCCGAGTCATGTCTATGGGTTCAAATGCCCCCGCCTCCACCTCCCCAAAAAAATCTCAGACACCTTAAAAACATGAAGAAGTTCATGACCAATGTTCCCTCTAATTTTCCATCCGTCTGAGCATTCACACAAACTCCCTGAGCATTCCTTGGACCGCGATGAGCAACATCAGACATGCACACGACAGCCAAACCAGTATCACACCTGTCCAAAACACGCCATCATAACAAGGTACGTGATGCAGTATGTTCTGAAAAAAAAAAATCAAATGACCTTTATATCAACATAGAACGAATGCCGATTTATGACACAAATAAAATTAGCCCACGGTTGTTACTTTTATTTTAGCACGTGGGTTATTTTAAGCATAATTAATTAAGCCAGTCTGTACAACTATCGTCACACACTCTCCACTCATAAATAATGGAAAACGTGTCATTT